ACATTTTTCGATCTTTTTCGTCGCGCTGTGATGACGTAACATACGCGCTTTTGTCGACCGCGATTTTGTTGTCCGGGTTTTGTGGTAGAACCGTATAAACTTGAATGCTTAGTTGGCATAAGCATATCAGGTGTTGTGTATTTGTGTAATGAGGGAGTTCCGCAGTTTGAATCCCTAGTGCCGCGTAATGAAGTGAGCTCCCATTACATGTCCAGCTTCTGCCAACCTAGCACTTCGAAAGCATGTAAAAAGGCAAGTAGAAAAATAGGGACCACCTTTGGTGGGAAGGGAACAACATTCCATGCACCTTCGGCATTTAGTCATGCCAGCCACATGACCACGAAGACATCTTCGGACAAAGCTATTCGGCTTTGAAACAGAGGTGAGCACCACCCACTAGAGTCGGGAACGACTAGCACACAGATGCGAGGGGAAACTGCCTTTCCTCAGACAAAATGGGTAAAAAAGAGATTGAGGTGACTCTGAAAAGTCATAAAATGTAAAATGTCTTTCAGAGGGATGCAGCATTCTTGAAATTGCTAAGATATTGGGGTATGGTCACAGAACTATCAAACATTTTGTTGCAAATAGTCAACAGGGTCACAAGAAACATGTCGAGAGAAAAAAGACGCACCTTAACTGCCAAAGGTTTGAGAAGAATCAAACATGAAGCTACCAGGAACCCATTATCCTTCCATGCTGTTATATTCCAGAACTGCAGCCTACTTGGAGTGCCCAGAAGTAGAAAGTGTTCAGAGCTCAGAGACATGGCCAAGGTAAGGGAGGCTGAAACCCGACCACCACTGAACAGGACACACAGGTTGAAACGGTAAGCCTGGGCCAAAAAGTATCTGGAGACAGATTTTTCAAAGGTTTTGTGGACTGATGAGATGAGAGTGACACGATGGACTAGATGGGTGGGCCCGTGGCTGGATCAGTAATGAGCACGGAGCTCCACTTCGACGCCACCAAGGTGGAGGTTGGGTACTGGTGTGGGCTGGTATTATTAAAGATGAGCTGGTTGCGTCTTTTTAGGTTGAAGATGGACTCAAACTCAACCTCCAAATGTACTGTCAGTTTTTAGAAGACACTTTCTTTAAGCAGCGGTACAGGAAAAAGTCTGCATCTTTCAAGATGACCATGATTTTTATGCAGGACAATGCTCCATCGCATGGAAAGAAGTACTCCACTGAGTAGCTAGCCAGTTAAAGCATCTTTGGGTTTCCTAACAATGAGAACAATTATTAACCAGTGGAACAGCTTGCCTTCAAAAGTTGTGGGTTCTTCATCACTGGAGGTTTAAAGAAAAGACTGGACAGAACACCTGTCTGAAATGTTAGAGGGTCTCCTGCTTGAGCAGAGGGTTGGACTAGAAGCCTTTGAAGGTCCCTTCCAGTTCTATTCTGATTGATTGATTGATCTGATTGTATCACAAACTAGCCCTTGGCAAAGCAGCTGTGAAGACTGTATGGAAGCAAAAGTTGATCTTTGAAGATGCAGGAAAAAGGCCCTTTTATGTTTGTGAACTTTTGTGATGGAGATGACCAAGCTATGGATAGCTAAGAAAAGAAACAAACAAACACAGAGTTCTTATTTGGGCCACAAATCATCAGATTATCATACTTTGAACACCTTATGTGAAGATCTCTTTTTCCCCCATCTTTAATGCTGAGAAAGAGGGAAGAAGAAATGATGAGCAGCAGCGTTCTCTGTGTTTCTGTGCCTGCGAATGTGTCCTGGGTGGGGGGACACCCAAAAGTCCAGGTCATCCGGGGGAAGGTCAGTCCATCCAGGTGGTCTTTTAGTAGTTTCCACCCAGTTGAGGGCATATTGTCCCCCAGATCCATTCTTCTCTTCCTACCGGTATCATTTTTACCCTTTTCACCAAAGTTGTTTCACGTTCTCTCATTTATCTGAATTGTGAAGATGGGATTTAATTTGCTTATTTCCAAACTCAAATTTCAGAAGTAAAACCAAGGAATAGCAGCATTCTTAATACTGACAGTTGGCAATTTTGACCTGCGGTCAAAATTTTATTCTGTCCAGGGAAGATCTACTTGTTGAATTACACAATCTGACAGTTCTCTGATTAGAGAATTCTGCCTGCCGGGGCTTTGCCGATAGGGGAATTCTGGGAGCCGAAGTGTCAAGTCTGCCAGGGCTGAGAAGGGCGCTCTCTCTGTGCCAATCGCAGGAGGCCTCGGGCCCCCTTCAATGCCTTCAGCCGCGGAAGGCGGAGCAGATGCGAGATCCTCTGCACTGGATCCCCCCCCCCCCCCCCCGCGAAGCTCTTACATCCCGCGCGCTTGACCGCCAGGCTCGGGACTGGCTCTGCGGACGCCGCCCGGGGATCGCCCAGCTCAAGAGAGGCGCGGGCTCTTCCTCCTAAAGCAAGCGGGGCGGCTGGGGCAGCCAGCTCCCACTCGGCGCTCGGAGGGGCTCGGCAGGGAGGGCAACCCGCCTTACCCGGCCGGAGGGGCGTCATCTCCGGCTCCAGTCCAGCCTGCGGCGCTTGCAGCCCCCGCCAGCTCCTCCAGGGACTCCCAGGCTCGGCGCCGGAGAGCCGCCGCGAAAGAGGCGGGCCAGGTTGCGGCGGCAGAGGTTCCCTTTGTTCTTTCGGGCGGGGGAAGCTGTGGGGGGGGGGAGAGGCTTCGTCCGTTCCGTCCGCGCCCCGCCTACGCTGCCCTCGCCCGACAAGCGCGCCCCGGATGCCGCGCAGGTCTGGCGGGCGGTGCCGTGGGCGAATCCCGGGGCGGAGGGCGGCAGGGAGGCCTGGCCGGACTCTTCACGGGCTGGCTGGCTGTGTTTTTCTGCCCCTGCCAGCTGGAGCTCAGGGGACGGGGGGGGGGGGGGAAGAGAGAGAGAGAGGGAGGGGGAGAGAGAGAGAGATGAGTGGACATGAAGTCAACATGAGTGGACTTCCCTCTTCTTTTCAAATTTTATTAAAGTTTGTTAGGTCAAGGAGGTCAAAGGAGGAAAAAAAGAGGTGAAAAGAGAAAGGCAAAAAAGTAGTGACTTTTCCCAACTTTTTTCAATGCAGTAACATTAAAAAGTGTTCCAGTATGGAATTCAATGCAGGGATTTCCAAAGTCATCACTCGGTCATCACTCGGTCACTTTTGCGTGGCCTCCTCCATTTTGCTTGCTCTTCTCTTGCAGGTTGGGTGGCAGAGAGAGAGACCCCACGATGGAGGAGAGGAAGAAGAAGAGCCCCAAGGCTCACCTCAGCCAACCGGTGCCTGCAAGTGCGCTGCGCAAGCTGCCTGGCCCGGCCAGCAAGAGTGCCTCTTTCTCGCTGGGGACGCCACACCTCCCGTCTCCAAGGCCAAGAGCCAAGTTTAAGAGGTCAGCATGAGGGCAGGGCAGAGTGGGCCTGCAAGGGCCAGGCCTAAGGGCACAGGGCAGGTGCTGGTGTTCTGGCAGCATTTTCGGGAAGAGTAGGTAGAATCTGAATCTCACACGGATGGGAGATTTGTTTATTTTCTGTCGCCGCTCCAGCCCATGTCAGAAGCTGTCTCAGAGCATCATAAAGCATTTGAACCAACCCTAGCAAATAAAAATAATAACAAAAGGCAACAGGGAAAAGCATTTGACTATTTTAAAAAAATCAGTAATAAGAAACAGTATTAGAACTGTTTCAACTGTGGGCAGCGTGTGGGAGGAATTTGAGCTTGGAAAAGTAGCAGGGTCGGGGCTGGGAGGAAACTTCAGAGTTGGCAAAAACCTTTCAGAAGCCAATAAAAAAAGTGCTCCAGTCTTGCCGCTAAGAAAACTTCCTAGTCAGGCTGATGAAGTCACCAGGAGACAACCTTGACTTGGGGGAGATGTTATTTATGAAACAGAGCTTAGCCCACAAGCTCTTATATGATCTTTCCTCATATAAGTGTTTGTGATGCCCGAAGGGGCTTCGTTTGCATTTTAAAATGTTTTGTGACTCACACTTGAGTTCTTGTCTTAGTGATGAGGATGCCAGCATAATCTACTCTGGATCTCACTGAGTGATCGGGGGTTAGAAAGCTCATCCTGCAGTGGTGGGTTCGAGTCAAGGGTCTTTGATGGGGTCCCTCGGTTAAGATAGTTCTTTCACATCCTCCTAGCATTACACAACCACAATTCATTAAAAGGAAACTCTTTAATAGGGCCAGTCGGGCAATGTTCCCTCTAATTTTTTTTCAGTGTGAGCAGAAAAGTATAGTGTTTGAGCGGCATATT